ATTTCTTCTTTCAACAAATTTATGCTCAAACAGTGCTACCACTGGGAGTGCAAAGATGAAAAAGACATGGTCTGTACTTCTAAGATGTATGCAGTCCATTAAGGAAGACAACATTTGTTATAAGACAACATAGATTTAAAGAAAATCCCAGGGGAGTGCAGAAGAAATAATGAATACTGTTGAGGGATTCAGGAAGTGTAGGTGATATTTGTATTGGGTCTTGTAGGAGGAGTATATATTTGCCAGACAAAAAAGTTGAGAAAAAGTTATCTAGGCAGAGGAAATATCATGTGTAAATTCAAAATTATGAAAGAATGTGGAACACTCAGAGAAAAATGAGAATTTTGATTTGGCTGGTGCAGAATGTGACGTGATGAGAAGACAGGCAACTTACACCTTGTATCACATTATAAATCTTTGCTTAGATTCTTTGGTCTTGCAATTTATGTTTGACTCCTCAAAGGAATACACCTTTGTTCAATTAGTAATTTTTTTCCTTCAGCTTTCTGCCCACTGCTTAGCCCATAGAGAATATTAAATTAATGTTATCTTACTGAATGAAACTATCTGCCTTTCTCCAGAGAACTGTAGTTTTTTCTCTTGCCTACACAGCCTTTGACTCTGAAGTTTCTGTTCCTAGTGTAAGGAAGACACACAAAAAATTACCAAATTCATTTTCTTTTCAGCTATGCTATATTTTTGTCTGCATTGTCTTCAAGTTAATCCTGATGAGGAATAAAATGTTATATGGCAGCTGATGAAAATCAAAGGTTTATTTAGTCACTTGTTCATTCATGCAACATATATTTATTAATCATCAAATACATTGTTCTCACTCTAGAAAGAAATAAGTTGTTCATGTTTTGGAGATATGTTAACTCTTTCAAGCTATTACACTATCATTTAGTATGCATAAAGAATACTAACTGAGAGAGTAGAGGCATAAATAAAATGTATATAATTTATTGTATAGCCCTTAATTTGTGTTCTGACAAACACCTTTTATTGGGAACTATAAGTGAATAATTTATGACAGGATAAGAACAGTTTTCATATCATTCTTCATATACTTTTCATATAATCAGCATTTTACATGAAAAATTTAACATTTGCAATTGCTAGGATTTGTTTCTTTGCAACATAATTGCTTGGTTCATTCATCTCAAAATAATTTATTTTCTAAAAAACATTCATTAAAGCAAGCCTTTTAGGACACACTAATATTTATAAAGCACAGTATTATAAGCCTAAACACCTGCTACACGATGCATTCAAATTAAGAACTCCAAATAAAATGGCATTGACATTGTAAAATATGTGGTGCCAATATGGAATATTTTTTGTTAAGTGTTTAGTGAGAATTTGCCACTAGTGAGGATATAGTCAACTGGATTTTCTAAAATGTTAAATATGTTCCTTCATTTTTTTATCTCATATGCTTTTACATGCATATAATTGAAAAAGGAGACCGGTATGAACTTGGCACCAGTTCATTAAGACTATATTGGCTATGTTGAATCAGTTCTAAATCGTGACTGGTTCCTGGCACATGTGTTAATGGCCAAAGTATATGAACAAATAGGTAACATTTAGGGCAAAGAAAGCAGCTAAGTACATTTCATGTCCAAGTTTTTGTTTTGTTGAAGTAGTTTTTTCTATAACAATAGTAGTACCTAGTTTTCCCATGCATTCCCATAAAAAGCAAATCTGTAATGAATAAACCTGCCTTTTTAACTTCTCATCTCCATACACCTGGCCAGGAGCAGGAGAGCACTTCATTTACTTGTCTGATTCTTTAAATGGTAGGCAAGGGAATATGATTTACTGATGACTTAGCAAGTCACAACAGTCCATCCACTTTCGTAAAAGAAATAACAAGAAGTTATCTGTGTTGGCAGTAATTGATTTTGAGTTACTTAGAGTTGAGAATTGTGATGATAAAAACTAACTTGAGAGATCAATTAATCCATCTCTTTTCTTAAAATAGTAGAACACACGCTATTACATACAGATGAATTTCTAACCTATTTTTATACTCTTCTAGATTTTTTTTAAATGCTTTTGAATTATTGCTGTAACTAGTGATGTTTGTTAACTAGGACAAGTTTTAAGAATTTTCCTCTTCATCCTCTGCTACATATCTTTTGTTTCTTTTTGCCACTGCATTCCTCTGCCCTCCCCATTTTTCACCTGTATTCCACATAGGATATTTCTTTAGGAGGTTTCCAAGTTAGGAAATCTTCTCAGGGTATCCTTCCAGGTTTTTTCCAGAAGATTTCTCTATTTCCTAATTCTTGAGTTATATTAAAAATAATAATTTTAGGGGCCGGCCCAGTGGCGCACTGCTACAGTGCGCCGCTTGGGAGCGTGGCGGTGCTCCCGCCAAGGGTTCGGATCCCACATACAGACCGGTTCCCGCTCACTGGCTGAGCGAGGTGCGCGTGCAACACCGAGGGTTGCGATCCCGTTGCCGATCCCGGTCCAGTATGGGCGCGACACTGAGGGTTGCGATCCGTTGCCGGACACCAAAAAAGACAAAAAGGAAAAAAAAAATAATAATAATAATTTTAGTATCTTAAATTTTAAAGGCTTTAAACTATTTTTACTTTGCCTTCAGATTTTTATTTATAATACTATTTTTTTATTTTTTTTACCTTTTCTAATAAATTATTTGAGATGCCCGTGTTATATAGAGTGAAATCAATTAAATTAATTTTTTATGGATGTTAATGGCTACAGAGTGAAAGATTATTTACCAGGTTGATTAAATTTCCTCTCTAATAAACGATTATAATTTGAGCTTCTCTAAGTAATTATTATAATTTGTTTGTAAACAATTTTATTTTTTCCTCATTAAAATCATTAATACACAAAAATGAAAAATGCAGTTTGTACTTTAGGGAAATTGCTCTAACACAGGGAAAAACTTCTGAAAAAGCTTTAAGTACTTCAGAAGTATCATTTACAATTACTTGATATACATTGTTCTTACCTAGTCATTAGAGAGTATCTTTTATAAATTTATAAAAGGATTTCCTTCTTAATATAGTGACAAGCTGGATAAAGTCTCCCAAATGTTTCACAGATAATCCATGCTCAGATGCAATAGAATTTGAATACAATGTTGTTTCATTTACACAAGCCAAATCTTTTAACTAGAGAGAATATTACAATTCAAATTAATCAGTGAATATTTAATATACTGTGTTCTTTAAAAAAGAAAATCGGGCCGGCCCGGTGGCGCACTGGAGAGTGCGCCGCTTGGGAGCGCGGCGGCGCTCCCACCGAGGGTTCGGATCCCATGTGGAGACCGGTTCCCGCTCACTGGTTGAGCACGGTGCAGGCGCAACACTGAGGGTTGCGATTCCGTTGCCGGTCCCTGGTACGGGCGCGACACCGAGGGTTGCGATCCCGTTGCCGGTCAGTAAAAAAGACAAAAAGGAAAAAAAAAGAAAGAAAATCTGTGACACCAAAAAAGAGTGTTCTTTTAATAAAATTTAAATTCTCAGCAAAGATCAATCTAATTTTTATCCCTGTTAAATCCTTAGTGGTAACATACATAACTTGGTATTTAATGTCTATGAATCAGACCTTACTCTCTCCGTCCTTCTTTATGGAGTTCTCTCTTTGCTTAAATTACTAAAGGAAAAAATAAACCTAAATTTCATAAAAAGTAGGTACCCATTTGTTGTTGACTTAATAATACAGCTTAATTTGTTGTACCATTTGCTTCCTTTTTCCACTCTTTGTCTTCCACTTTTCCTCAATTGTTGTCATCACCTTTCTCAGAACAGTAGTAGAATATTGATGCTGAATAATGTAATAGACACATCTCCTTACAGGTGCTGTGGTGACTTGCAGTACCATTCTGAACTCTGCCTAGTCTAAGTCCTTAGCTTTTTAAGCAAACCATTAAAAAAAAAAAACAAAGCAAAATGAAAAAAATCCTTGTGCCTCAGTTTCCTCGACCGTGAAAGGAGGGTAAGTCAAACTTAGCTTCTCAGATCCAGTGGTTTGATCAAGGTCATCCTTTGATCAGGTTAACAAGTCTTACTCAGGGGTGTTTTACACCTCAAAGTTAGCTGCTTTGAATTTTAATTGCAACTTGTGAAAACTTTCCTAAATTTTATTTGAGGGGATCCTATGTGAAGATGGTAAAAAGGCTTATTATATTTATTTCTATCCATATAACCCCTTTCTGCAATAATGTATAGACAAAATATTTGGGGTAAATTAATAAATATTACTAGAAACTGAAAAGTGACAGGGAAAAGAAGAAAATAAATATACTTACCTAGAGTCACTATGATTGCTTTGGGTGTGCTTCATATTTGACTGTGAGCTAATGGTGCCATGATAAAAATAAAAATAAGTTTAGTTTTATCATTTGTATTATAAAAAGAAGGAAGTTTATTACTTCCCCTGAGGAAGCAGAGTTTTTTCTGATATCACATTATTAAAAGAAACTTCTTGTGAGTCATTATGGAGAGGACATGGAAAAAAGGATATATTACATATGATTTATTTATTGCTTTTTCATTTTCCTGTTTAGTTATGCTTATTTTTCTAACTTTGGGGAAGCAGAATTTTTCCTAGTACCTATATTTGTGACCATGCATATGTTAATTGAATAGATGCTCATAAATAACTGTTATAATAATTAATTTCATAAGTAAATGAACTTAGGTTTTGGCTTAAAAAATACACTTACGAATCCTTACAATCTTGCTCTCTTGGGTGGCATAGTTCCAAGATATAATGCCCCATCTTTCCATCCATATTATTACTTAACACATTTTATTGCTATTTCTTTATCTGACATTGCCCCACATCCTCACTTGACTGTAGGTTCCACTAGGCCAGGAATCCTATCTTATTCATTTCTAACTCTAACACTAGTCCCATTGCCTGTACATAGTAAAGTACTCAGTAAATATTTTAATAAATGAATAAAATATTGCCTTTAAGTATATTTGTTCTCTCTCTTTTTTATACTTCAGAATTATGGCTTGGAAACAGAAAATCTAAAAACCCTTTCTCACAAGTTGAATGCATCTGCCAAAAATCTACAGAATTTTATAACAGGAAGGAGAAGGAGTGGCCATTATGATGGGAGGACCAGCCGAAAATTGCCAAACGACTTTCTGACCTCGGTTGTTGATCTGATCGGAGCAGCCAAGAGTCTGCTTGCCTGGTTGGACAGGTAAAATATTCTACTTATTTCATAAGTAATCGCTCCTCAGACACCAGTTTGAATATTACATTATTTCTTGTTTTCTTGCAAAAGGATTGGACAGGTAGAGAAGTACAAAGTCATATACATCTAATTATGGTTCACTACCATATTGTCAAATAGATATTAATCTTTTGTAAAATTTGATATTTGACTAAGTAGCCAATCAATAATTAGTCTCTGACAACTGCAAAATACCTTTGCTGCTTTATAAGCAAAGTCATTATTTGGCTGTTATAACAAAATTTATAGTACTGCTTTGTCTCCTGATTTTCTTTATTTTTTTTTTATTGTCATATTTAAGGAAGTGACCACTGGGATTCTATATACTGTTTGAAATGGGTAATTAGACATAGCATGCATTGCATGTCTCCTTACCATTGCTTCATTTGTTCTCTATTATTATTTGCATTGCACAATTTTGGATATCGTAAGCACACTTTTAGACTTTTTTGGTTTACTTCATTTTCATTTGTCTTGGAACACATAAAATTGCATAAAAGTTTTGATAATATGAAATGAAAAATGTTAGATTAAAATTGTATATATTGTTAAACATTATAATGGTAAAACATCACAACTGTTTATTAAAAAAAAACTTAAACTCTACTTTCAGTTTTGAAATTTTTTGTAAGGGGCATGTACTATGTTATAATGGTTAAATAATCAAATTTTAAAATATTCTTTTTTCTCATCAGAAATTCTAATATACATTTTTACCAGAACTATTTGTTGAATAAATGTCAGTAGGATAGACACATGTATACACACACACACACACACACACACACACACACACACACACACACACATAAATTTGGCCTTTTAAAAGCATAGGGCCTTATATTAAAAGTAAAGTATTTGGGGGCCGGCCCGGTGGCGCACTGCTACAGTGCGCCGCTTGGGAGCGCGGCGGCGCCTGGTCCGGTCCGGGCGCGACACCGAGGGTTGCGATCCGTTGCCGGACACGAAAAAAGACAAAAAGGAAAAAAAAAAAAAAAAGTAAAGTATTTGTATTTTTCAGTTAAGATAATTTTGTTTAATTTTATATTGTCTAAATTTATATAAACACATAACATAAAGTGGTGATACTAAATCCAAATCTGAACACTAAGCTGTGTATTAGTAGCTTTTTTATAATTACTTATTGGACAGCATTTTTTCTTTATATTATTACATCATTGAAATTTAGTTCTTATAATTGTATAAACCACATTTATCAATTGTTTAAATTAAGTACATTTTAAATATATGCTTTCTAAAAGTTGTTATTGGTAGTCAGTAAGTAAAATATGGCTTAGTACTTAAGTAATGTAATAGACTTTTTTGAGAGGCCTCTTAGTAGTCAGAAACCTTAAAGAAAACATACTTGATTTTAGTTACAACTTCTTTTACTATCATTTGCCCTATAATTGTAAATTTTCTCAGCCTTGATATTTGTGATCATGGTATTTCCCCTTCCAGCTAAGCATACAGCTTTGGTATTTGTATTTAATGCATTTCTTTTACACTAGTGTTTGTTAAATAGATAGATAGATAGATAAATTGTTAGATTAGAGAATGTTTTTCTTGATGACAGATGTGGGTATTTATAAAATCACATAAATGGCTTCTAACACTATAGTAGTCCTTGAGATTTTATTGTATTATTTTTTATTATGGCATTACTTTTATCATTTATTAAGATGCTCTTGGTAAATGCCAGTTCACCTACAAACACACAAGTGTGCATACACACATACAAAAACAAACAAAAACACACATATAGCAATCCAGGAAGTCAATCAATGGGGTTTTGTGTTTGTTTCATAGGAAGAGAAAATGTGACAAAAAGCCTAAAGGAAATAATTTAAATCATCTGTTTGGCTTCTGCTACTGCAAAGGTTCTCACGATGCTTATCTTTTATCATATCATACCACAGTGATCAATGAAATCAAAGGCTATTTAATTAACATTTTGACCATAAAAATAAAATAAGTACTTAAAAGGAAACAAAAAGTCAACTTTGTTATAACTTTGAAATCTTCTGTTGAGACTTTTGTAATTTGACAAAAGAAACTGAAGTTTATATTTTGAAGATCTTTCACAGAAAGTTCAGCTCCAGGCTGGCTTGCCTTAATGATGATGCTTTAACAGCTTAAATTTAAAAAAAGAAAAGCAGTAGGAGAAAAATAGAAAAAAAAAAAGAAAAACTATTTGTCTTTTTTTGTTTGTTTTTTTTTTGAAGCTCTTACAACGAGAAAATGGAGGGGACACATCTGGGTGGGAGGGGGGAGAGGGAGGAGGGAGGGAGGTTTTGGTGATGGGACACAATAACTAACTACATTGTATATTGACAAAATAAAAATAAAAAGAAAAAAAAAAGAAAAACTATTTGAAGGCAATGGGGAGCTGCTTAGGGTTACTGTATTCAGATCTGTGAATTTTAAAGATTACTTGGGCTATTGTGTTGAGAGAGATTAGAGAAGAGTAAGGCTAGAAGGGAAACCAGGTGGGAGGTTCTTTAAGGAATTAATTAATCGTGGTGATTCTGATACTATCATTGATGATGATAATATCTGCTGGGCACTAATACCTCCAGATACACTCATTTAGTCAAGACAACTCTAGAAAGTTTGTCCTCATTTTACAGACAGGAAAACAAGGATTTAGGGAGATTAAGTTCAAAACCACGTGGCAAGTAAGTTGTGGAACCAGGATTCAGTCCTGATAGTCTGACTGCAGAGCTTATCCTCTTCACTGCTATTTGTTGAAATTTTTAACTAGAGAAGCAGCAGTGAGGACAGCAGAATGTTAGAATTACTTGTGCAGATAAATAAGACTCAGTGACAGGTAAAATCTAGAGTAAGGGAAAGGGAGACATCTAAGATGAATAAGAGGTATATGACTTGGCTGACCCAGTGGATGGTGGTACCCTTATCAAAATAGGAGGTCCGTGGGGAGTGTTAGAATGGATTCTTCTTACTTAGACCCTTCTAACATACTATATAATATACTTATGTATTATGCTTATAGTTTTCATCTGACTGCTCCATATATGATGTACACTTCAAGAGATCAGGGATTTTTCACCTTCTTTGTTCACTGCTATCACAATTATCTAGAAGAGTTCTTAACCAGTAGTGGCTGCTCAGTACATATTTTTGAGGGATTGGAGAGAAGTGAGATAAGGAATGAGCTCTGTGGACTATTAGTAGTAGTTTAGATAATAGAAAAAAATAAGAAGGCATAACCGGACAGATAGGAGGAAATTAGTTGAGAGCAGTATCATGGAAGCAAAGGAGTAAAGAGGCTTAAGGAAAAAAGGAAATGGTTGGTAGATCAAATGCTGCTGAGCAAAAAAAAAAAAAAAAAACATACTGCTGAGAGAATAGGTAGGGTAAGGAGTGAAAGTGTGTGGTAGATTAGGGAATTAGTTGTAAAGGTAAGTGAGAACTCCTGTTTGAAAAAATTTTTCTGTGAAATGGTTTGTAGTTTATGATAGTTTTTTATATTAAATTCCCCTTTTCAAAGATTTTTAATCTTGGTGATAATGGAAAAGAGGAAAGGCAAATGAGTTCTACTAGTATATTTGGGAGCTTGATTTTGCTACTTCCTCTGCCATGGGTTGTATGAATACCTTAACTGCTCCTTGGTTCATATAAATTTCAGAAGGTCCTGAGATCAATTTAAATGTAATAGGATTTTATCTGTAACTGTGCCAGGTGAAATATTTAGGCTGTTTGTTTTCCTGAAAAGCAGTCCAGACTTTTATTAGAGTGTTAGTGGATATGTATTAATATTATATTTAAGTTATATTTTTATTTCTTTCAAAGAAAAAAAATGTTTTCTAGGTAGCAGCAGGAGTGCAAGCTATCACCCCACATGCCCTCTTGTTTCGGTGTGTCCTACAAACTTTACACAGGAAACAGAACACATTAATCAAATGCTAGGAAAGCCAAAAGAACAGTTTTCTCCATGAACATTATTGTGAATCCTTGCCAAAAATTATGCTGTAGTATACAAAAGCAGACAGCTGAGAAAGAGTCTCAGCTCTGCCTCTAGCCCTCGGCAACTTGAACTTTAACTTTTGTTTTTATTTTATTTTTAGAATAAGGATGTAAAACTTCTGGAATTTGAAGTTCTTTTCTAAGCACTAATATTCTATAATTTATTAACCTTGTTCACCAAAGTTTTATGTGGAATATTTCCAAATTATTTCCTTCTATATAGTATCAAAGGATAAATGCTGACAAAATTTGTTAGTGACTTTCGGAATCATAATTTAAGTTCCGACCTCATCTCTAAATAATTTTAGTTAACTTCAACTTAAGTTCTAGAACAAAACTAATTGTTCTGTCTTTATGCTTTCTTTATATAAGGTAAGAATGTGTTTTCTCCTTTTAAACTTTTGTATGCTTTTGAAGAACTAACAACTTAAATACTTAATTATAAAAGTTCCATTGAAATGATGTTGACCAAAACTTCTTAATATTTTTGTCAGTGTAGATTTGCTTTAATTTGGGGGATTTTAAATGGCTATTGCCAAGCATTTGATCTTTAACCTTAGTTTATTTCTTTGGTATATAATACAGTATAATTCTTTAGTTGAAGAATAAAATATTTGTCAGTTAAGTATGGTTATTTAGATGCTAAACAACTGGTTTCATTTTTAAACAGCAATAAAGTTTTTGGCAATAAGGAGTTTTTTATTACATTTTGGAGAGAATTTGCATGCACCACAATATGATATGGGTTTCTTACAATTTTTATTTTATGTCATTTTGAAGGGGGAGAAAGGAAATGAGAGTAGGTGAAAATCTTTAATTTCATTCTAGATACTGAATTAGATGTCGTATGTATATCAATTCACTGAATTCTCACAAACAGATATCATTATTACTATTTTACATATGAGACATTAAGTAACTTGCATTCATCTAGTATGAAAATTATCCTTTGAATCTATTTTTGTCTGACACCAAAGCCC